GCTGTGTAGCTTGAAGTGAGGATCAGAACCACAAAAAGCCAGATGAGCAACACAACACGACCGAGTGTGCTCACTGTATTCTCTCCTGCAAGTTCCAACAGCTCCAAGATGTAAAGAAAATCTAGGCCTGGTCAAACTATCCGGACCCGAAAAGTTCCAAACCGGATCCGATTCGAATTTTAAGGTGTCAAACCGAACCAGATCCGATATAGATATCCAAACGGTACATAAATTCTTATATCCAAAAACTTATGGATATCCGATAATATCTAAATTTAAAATATATATCTAAAAAGATATTTATTTTAATACTTATAATAATTAAACATTTGAAATTATAATTAAAATTTTGAATATATTAGCTTTTTTAAGATAATTAGAATATTTTCAGTTATTTTTGACATGTTTAGATAAAAGAAAATAAAATCTGAGTTGAATATTTCTGATAAAATCATTTATTTTCTATACATTTGGAAAATTATTCAAACATGATCCTATTTTTTTCTGGTTTTTTCAGATATAATAATGCTGAACCGGAATGAAAAATGCCGAACCAAATCCCATCCGAATTTTGAAACTATCTGATCGGTACCATTTCCTAGATCTGAAATATCAGTATTCAAAGTATCCTATCCAAACCCGATCCAATACTGAATGCCTATCCCTAGGAAACCCTATACAGGTACTCCAATTAATAACTAACTGCAAGGTTCAGTATGAACTTACTGTGGGAGAAAAACATCGTTGAAAAGCTGAACCTGCATGAAAATAGGCATGTTATATACACCAACATATATAAGAATATTGCAGCTTCAGTGACTGTTTACTAACCAGAGGATTGTAACAACTTGACTCCTTGGAGGTCCACGGAACTCATCGTTGATCCTATGTTCAAGAATCCATATTACCGATCCAATGATGAGGAAAAACGCTGCTGTCACAGCCCACATAGGAGGAGTAAAAGGTCTTAAGAAGGCCCAAGGAGTATCATTTAGCTTTGTGACAGCAGCAACCACTACAAGCCCTGACTCTATGTATGGTTGAGTGAAGTCCACAATCCTTGTTCGTCTCTTAACAATAGCTATGTCCCCAACCACAGCATCAAACACCTGAAAAATAAAACTCAACACTGTTTACATTCAATTCTTTAAGAATAAGGCTTTGTTTATGATCATCTATTGATTCTTTTTAATTACTCAGTACCCCTGTAGAGACATTGTTGACAAGTTCATTGTAGTTTGGGTTCTTGAGACCGTCTCCAAAAAGTACAAACTCATGAGGAACAGGATATGGAAGCAGTTTTATAGCAGCTTCAAAGACATCAATGGAGTGCCCTTCCACTTTGTTGCTTCCTTTAACACTTGACACAAAGTCCTTAAAGCTTGCTCTATTAGGCACACCAATTCTCAACCTCCTCCCGTTCTTAGGGAAGACCCATCCACGTGGCGTCTCAGACGTCCCACCAGGCCAAGTCACATTGTACAGATGTTGATTTGAGCTAGAACGGTTTGAAGGCTTGCTGTATAATAACTCAGGAGGTATAACAGAGAGACCAGAATGGTTAGACCAGTAACCTATCTGCTTAAACCCGTTGTTGTCATCTACAATGTTTATAATGTCATAAGCAGGCTGAAACATTGATCTGTCTGGAAGAAACTGTACTAGACCTGTGACACCAGACATCTTTGTATCCACAATATAATCAAGAAACTGTGGTCCTTGATCGAATACGCTCAATGCACCAAGATTCAGTGTTCCACCTTTCAAGCTTGTTAACTTGGAGTCGCTGGAGAAGGAAACGTTAGCTCCACTATCAAGAAGACTCTTTACAGCTCTAGCAATGATCCAGACAGTGTCATATGCATAGAGTCCATAGACATTTAACCCAACAGTTCCATTACTCAACTTGTTCCACCGTGACACAAAGTCTCTTCTCTTTCTTGACTCTGGAGTGTGGATACGGAGTGTGAGCACTCCTCTAATGGCTTCTATCTTCTCGGAAGGTAATGAATCCAACAAAGAAGTCAACCATGTTGTAGCTATCCAGACATAGCCTTGCTCCATCATGCCAAGCTTCTTGGCTTCCTCAAAGATCATTGTACCTGTTTTAGGGAACGTGTTTACAATGATCACACGAGACTCCATCTCTTGAATCTTGATTAACTCATCTATGATCTCACGTGGGCTTGTGATCACCACGTCCAGAGGAAGCACCGCCTTGTAAGAGATCTTGCAGCGTCTTCTTTCTAGCTCGTCGCCTAAAGATGTTACACCGTTTCTGCTGTTGTCATCGTCGTTGTACAGTGCAACCACCTCTGACCAACCGTAATAAGTTATCATTTCTGCAATGGCACGCATCAGAAAGAGATCGCTAGGTGCTGTTTGGACAAAGAAAGGGAACTGGAGTGGCGAGAGGCTAGGGTCTAGCGCTGTGAATGATAACATGGGTACTTTAAGCTCATTTGCAATATAAGACAGAACATGAGCCATTATTGATGTCTGAGGACCAACTATAGCCACAGCATCAGTCTCCATGAATCGCAATGCTGTGATATCAAAACCAATACAAGGGATAAGTAAGAGAGTTTTAATCACAGGGTTTTTCTCTTCCTTATTTTAAGTTCATTCTTTCTTAAAATGTCATATTTCAAAACCATAAATACATTTCTGTACAAAGGTTTTTTTTATCTGAATATAAGTTTTAAAATACGTAAAAGTTTCAAAGCAAAAATCAATAAAAATAGAAGGTCGATTATATAAATAGCACAATTTTTGTTTGACAAAAATAGCACACGTGAAGAAAAAATCATCAAAAAATCATTAGTTAAAATGACTAAATTACTTTAATCCTTAAACACTTACCTTAAACTTGAATCATTGAAACCAAACTTAAATATAAAAATATTTTTTTATCTGAATATAAGTTTTAAAATACGTAAAAGTTTCAAAGCAAAAATCAATAAAAACAGAAGGTCGATTATATAGTTGATAGCACAATTTTTGTTTGACAAAAATAGCACACGAGGAGAAAAATCATCAAAATATCATTAGTTAAAATGGCTAAATTATTTTTTTTATCTGAATATAAGTTTTAAAATACGTAAAAGTTTCAAAGAAAAAATCAATAAAAACAGAAGGTTGATTATATAGTTGATAGCACAATTTTTGTTTGACAAAAATAGCACACGAGGAGAAAAATCATCAAAATATCATTAGTTAAAATGGCTAAATTACTTTAATCCTTAAACACTTACCTTAAACTTCAATCATTGAAACCAAACTCAAATATAAAAATATTTTTTAACTTTTCATTAATGCAATTTTAAGAATATTCTTTTTTTTGTTAATTTTAGAATTAATATTGGTGCTATTTTAGAGTTTTTATTAAAAAAAAAAAGATAAAACTTTTATTCACCTCCCATGATGCTGAGGAATCCGCTGCGCTTAGCATCATACATCAATATACGCAACTTCGATCCACCTAGGAAGCTGGGGTCAGAGTTCACATCGTCCTCTGCAGCTTTCATGGCGATATTTGCAACTTTACCATGTAAAGTGTTTAAGCCGAAGATTGCTCCAACATTGACAACACGAGGCCTTGAAGCTCCCTCTGAAATGATCCCATCACCACTGAGAACAATGAAACTCAACAGAACCAAAACCCAAGACATTTTGGCTTTATCAGTTCCTGAAACACCAAGTTTGATAAACAAACAGCTAGTAGAAACTTCAGATACAAGTCCTAAATATTAGTCACAAAGCTAGAAAACTTGTTATGGAGAAGAGAATATGTAAGATAAGAAAATAAAGTAGCTTTGACCAGAACTGAAACCCTTATTACTTCGACCACAGAAAAGACAAGGGTTGGCTGTGGCAGAGATGCCAAAACCCAAACCAATGTCATCCTTTAAAAATAAAAATATTGGTTAGATACAGAAAACATTTAGCTGAAGGAAAGGCATGAGGAACAAGCAAAGGGGATATATATATATAATAAGAAGAAAGAAATAACTAAAAGGGGAGAACAAGTGGGTCTTAAACAACAAAAAGAAATGGTTAACTAGATCTTGGGTATGCTGGAAGACTTGGGAAAAATGCAAACTTTTTTTGTGGCATCTAGTTACTTTTTCTTTTTATTTTTTTTTTATTTGTTTTTTGATCATCGGTGAAGATTTGATTAACTCACAATCAAAACTCATGCAGTACATGCTGAAGGAAACTTAATTATGTCAAATTGAAAAGAAAAAAAAAAAGAAAAACAAAGGATAAGCTAAGCAATGTCCAATATCAATAGTGTAAATCGTGGGAGAGTGTAGAATTCCTTTGTGTGGAAGCTCCACCAAAATTGGATATGGAAAATAAAAATCATAGAAATCGGATCCTAAAAATTTATGGATACTGCAGAGATGAACCTAAGACGGTCACACCAATTTCCCTCTATATCAATCTGGACCTGCTTCTATTATGCGGATCTCTTTGGACGCTAACTAGCTCCTCCACAAAGATCACTATCACTCTTCCATGAAATATTCACAAACACTAAAATCATAACTTGTTAGCCCATAATTAATATATCTGTGTTTTAATCAATTTATCTTGAATATTCGTTGTGCTTGTAATATGAAATTAGCACAAAACAGATTAGCAATATATATAATTCACATAATTATCACTTTGGGACTTTTTTTAAGCAGCTTTGTTTCAACATGCAAACATATAATCTATCCACCGTGATCTACCGACCATTTGAAAATAAAAAAAAATTACGATATCTAATGCCATTTGATTTGAGACATAATTTGTAATGTTCCTAGCTTGAGCAATTCATGCTTTATAAATAAGTTTTATAATGAAAACCAAGAAAAAAAGAGCGAACAACAAACTTTTTTTTTGGGTCTAAATGTTAAGATTTATAACCATTTTCTGAGTTTTACAATGTTGTGAAAACCACAACTTATTACAAAGCAAAGGAGAGAGCGAACAACAAACTTTTTGAAGGATTACAAAGGCATAAGACTTTCAATGTGATTCGTGAAACCCTTCACAGAGTTCCCAAATTCTTCATTTTCGATTCCTTCCAATTTGAGTCTTCTACGAATGTTACTCACCGGATCGTAGAATTTAATAAAAGACGATTTCTGGAACCTGTAAGGCACATAAACAAACTCGCCAGCCTGAGTAAAACCTTGTAGCTCGAAAAGCTTATGTAAAGGTTTGCGAAAGTCTTGAAAAGACCACTTCTGTTTATTATCAACATCCTCCAAACTCCACAATCTTTTATCATTATCTTCATCAATACAAGCTAATCTCCCCTCGTAAGTTATCAGCACGTCATCATGAAAATCTGAAGGTAGTTCTATCGTATGGAATATTTCAGATCTGACATCAAAGCTCATTATAACCGTACAAAGATACCATGGCTTATTTGATATATTATAGGCTAGATAATATATCACCCCATTGATGCATTGACCAGAAGCAAAGCCACGACACCAATGTTTCAGGTTAGTTCTGACGGTCCTCCACGATTCTTGCCCTGATCCTAAAGTAAAAACTCGGCAGACGTAACAAGTTTTTTTATAGGGAAGGCACATTACTTTGTGTTTACCTCCGACTGAATCATATCCTAAGAACGCATTAATATGTCTGGAGCTCATTTTGGGTTTGGGTAAAACTAATAATTGTCCCGTGGTAGGGTTCCAAACTAAGGGCTTACGGGAGCATACATCTTCAATGCAGATCAAGCCGTGCACAGAATCCATATTAGAAAAGTAACAATGTTGTCCTAGAGCTTTCATATGATAACGAGGAATAGGCTGAGAAAAAGAAGTGTAAGACCTCTGATGAGTAGTAACAAACATGTTTTGACCTTTTATTGAACATAGTAGAAGACTTGGCCGTTGTATAGTCCCAAACGACTTGATGAAACATGGATCGGTTGTGATTGATAACCAAAGCTTCGACACGCAACGAAACCTCCCTACGGATTTGGCAGGCAACCGTAAGAGAATCTCTGAGATTAGATCGTTGGGTAACCATGAACCCGATGTCGCTTGTTTCTTCATCTTACGTGAAAGACTCAAAACCCTAATCTAATTCAGGATCATTCATTAATCGTGTTTAAATCAAATTAAGTAGGGATGCAATCAGGCTTTTAGCCCATAATCTTAAATGGGTTTTAATTGGGCCTTGGACCACAAATAAAGAAACACGTGATATATAATAATAAATAATTGCAAAAAAAAAGAAAAAAAGACAAAAACAGAGAGAAGTGTTCAACTCAAATCTCCCGTGTCTTTTACGGTCAGTAATCAATCATATCGGTGACGCGACTTTTCGCCGGAGAAGTAGTATCAGAGAGAGAGAGAGACACGGCGAACGCGGAGGAAGACGAAGAGCGTGGAGAGAGTCTTCTTCCTCTCTCGACTATGAGAAACCCTGTTCTTCCTGTTTCCGATCCTCCTCTCTCCGGAGAGAATGATTCCGACGGTAAAGGCGTCGACGATCGTCTTTTCAAAGGATCCGCCATGACCAAACGTGGCGCTTACGCTGCTCTTTCTTACATGGCCTGTGCTGGTAATAATCTCCCTCGATCTTATTTCCATTTTTAGTGTTAATCGAAATCTTTATGTGTTAGCTGCTGACATTGAGATTTGTTATGTTCTTATTGATTCGCAGTGATGCTTGTTCTGTTCAATAAAGCAGCTCTCTCTTCGTATCAGTTCCCGTGTGTTAATGTTATTACACTCTTTCAGGTATATATGCAATTGCATAAACAACGGTTAATTTTGCTATTACAAACTATGAAAAACATTACATTCACGAGACTGTTTTCTTTTTGTTTTCCACAGATGGTGTCTTCTACCTTCTTTTTATATTCATTGAGGCGGAAGAAGATCATCTCTTTCACAGCAGCTGATTCCTTTTCAGGTTCTGGTACTGTCTCAGCTTTTGTGCCGTTGAAGACATTGTTCCACACGCTTCCTCTCTCAATAGCCTATCTTCTCTATATGGTAACCATTTTTTTTTACTGAAACAGTTTTTGGAAATGTTTTGTTTTGAGTTCTGTAAATAGTAACTGATCACAGATTTGTTTTAATGTGTATCTCCTGAAAGCTAGCTTCTATGGCGTCTGTTAGAGGGGTGAATGTTCCCATGTACACCACGCTTAGGCGTACCACGGTGGCTTTTACCATGGTGATTGAGTATATGCTCACAGGTCAGAAATATACCCGGTCTATCATTGGAAGGTGATTCACAGTTTACTCTTACTAGAATCATGCTTCCTGATTTTTAATGCACAACTAAACTCTTGTAAGATTGATGATGTCAGTGTTGGCGTTATCATCTTTGGCGCATTTTTCGCTGGAGCTAGGGACTTATCATTTGACTTTTATGGATATGGTGTTGTTTTCTTAGCCAACATAACAACAGCTGTATATCTAGCAACCATCGCCCGGATTGGTACAGTAATCAACCCACTTTCTTGCTTTTACTCCTTCTCTCTTACTCTAGTTTAATGTCTGGTCCTACAGGGAAATCAAGTGGCTTGAGTAGCTTTGGACTTATGTGGTGCAATGGTAATCTAAACAGATAGCAAAGTTGACTTTTAAAATTCCAAGACATGCTTTGAATCTGTGAGTTTTTTTTTTCAATGATAGGTATTATATGTGGACCTATATTGATGATTTGGACATTTATGAGTGGTGACTTGGAGAAGACAATTAGTTTTCCTTTTCTCTTTTCTCCCGGTTTCATGGTATTGTAAATTGTTGTTTTGGTTTATTATCTGTCAACTTTGTCTTTTGGGAGACTGATGATCTCTTTACGTTCTCAACCAGGTTGTGTTACTCTGCTCGTGCGTGCTGGCTTTCTTCTTGAACTACTGCATTTTTCTTAACACCACTCTCAACTCTGCTCTCACGCAGACAATTTGTGGCAATATGAAGGTCGGTTTCACTTTATAATTACCTCATCTACAAATGAACATGTGAAACTATTCTGTCAAGGAGAAGGAACCCCCTTGAGAGAGTGTATATAGCTTACATCTTGGGAATGATGAGACTTGTAGATTAATGGTTTGATAATTGAAAGCAGAAACTTTGAAACATTATATTATCGTTTACAGGATTTATTTACGGTTGGAATAGGGTGGATGGTCTTTGGTGGACTCCCATTCGACCTGGTATGTTCTGCACTGTCCCGTTTACATTATTGAACGTAAAATCACTCATATAAACTCGCTACAACACCTCAGTACTGTTGTTTTTTGTCTTCATTGACGCAGATGAATGTGATTGGGCAGCTTCTTGGTTTCTTAGGCTCTGGTTTATATGCATATTATAAGATCATTGGGAAGTAACTACTACTCCAAATAATAAGAAGAGCCAATAAAAAGCAGGAGTGGCCCTAGTTCAAGGAGAAGTTGTTGAACAGTAGGTTCCAGCTTTGGTTTTTGCAGGTGAATTAGAGTAATAGTAATAAAGCGAGGCCTCATTTTTCGAACTTGTAACTGATTTTTTTTTTCTTTCTTTGGGAACTCTGCATTTTCTTGTTTCTTTCCTTTTTTTGTATAAATCATAGACAAGGATGACTCAGTTTTCGTGGAATCTAATATAAACGCGTTAAATATTTCGGGTATATTGGTTAACCATGTACTGATATGAGTTAATTGTTTCTTGGTTTCCAAGGTTGTGAATGGCTGGTATCAAAATTTTTGGTTTAGCTCTTTGAAAATTGGTAAACGAGCAGAAGAGATGGCCAAGGCAGTATATAAATTGCAAACATCAGAAGTAGAAAAATGAAAAAAAGAGATGAGTTGCACACCCAGTGGGACTCGAACCCACAATCGCTTGATTAGAAGTCAAGCGCCTTATCCATTAGGCCATGGGTGCTTGTTGACTATGTCTTCCCATATAATAACATATATCTGATAAACATTTTCTATATTGCTTTATCCAAAAGCAAAACATATTTTAAGCGGGTAAAAAGCAGAGAGAGATCCCTTAACTCTGATTCTTTTCAAAGTATCTTCTCTACTATCATTCCTATCCCATGGCAAATGATCTCCCACTCTGACTCAACTACACTTCTGATCTCGGCTCCTCAAGACGTTTTTGAAGTAGATGTTGTTTGTAGCTGGAAGAAAGAAACATCAGTTTCTCATTCTTGATATCCTATGGAAGTTCCACGCCGTTCTTTGGCTGCGTCTCTCTCTCCTCTCCGGCTTATCGATCCTCGGAGAAGTTTTAGTTATAATCAGATGCCTGAGGAACCGATCAAACTCACTGTTCTTAAGCTTGATGGATCTTCCTTTGGTACCACACAATCATCTTTGTTTCTAAGGCGTTGTGTGGTTTTTATAATCTTCTTTCCTTTTTTTTTTGTAGATGTTGAAGTGTTGAAGAAAGCTACAGTAAGGGAGCTCAAGATGGCTGTAGAAGCTGCGTTTTCTCACTTGCCCTTTACAGTTATTGGCAACGTCTCATGGTAACAATATTTCAGTTCTTGATTTTCAACGACTTCTTCTTGTGTCTAAACGTTTCTTGATGATCCTGTTTGAATGAAGGCCACATGTTTGGGTTCAGTTCTGCTTGTCCTTTGGAGATCAAAGATTGATCAACGAATCTGACTACCTCATTGAATTTGGCATCAAAGACGGAGATCAGGTTTGTAGTCTGCCTCTAGTGAGTCTTATCCTTATGATATTGCTTGATCTTTACATTTTGATGTGGTAGAGTAGAGGTAAGATTCTCTAACCAGGCTTATGTATAGTCAAGTTTAGTTTCGGTTACATTCTCTCCTTAGTTGTAATGTTTTAACTGGAACAAAACATCATTCAGCTTCGATTCATCCGCCATACATCAAACTACTCCATCTTGATGATGAAGCACAAGAGCATGACACCACCACCTGTTTCTTCTTTGAAACAACTCAACCTGTAAGATTTTTTTCTCTCTTCCAATGCTGTTTTATGTTTTGCTTTTACATCACCTGTAGTCTCCAAGTCATGATACATATGTTCGTGTTAGACCATCTACGTTCTCAATCAAAACCGAAACCTGGAAAAAGAAGAGAGCACAAGGTCAAGAAGACGGTGTTCATGACTCCATCACTCAGATACAGCCAAGCTTTCTCTCTACTGTATTGGGAGGTTGGCTCTCTCACAAGTCATCACCAAGTAAACTAGATACTAAACACAGAGACGCCACTGCTTCTACTTCGAGTCACCGCAGAGTTTTTAACAAACTCATCACAAGGTTTCGTTTCAAGTGTTATTCAGAGAAAGATGGACTGGAACATGAACAAACTCATCTTTAAAACATGAACATTCTTCTTTGGTTATTCTAGAGCTTTTTGATTTCTCAATCTTCAAGTTTATATGTAAACACTTGGAGGCCTGACCAATAATTTGCAAGGAGACACTTAATAATAAGACTCTTTGGTTAAAACTGATAATGCTAATATATATAATTAGATATGATTAATAGCCAATATCATCAAACATGATGCTAGAAACTCTTATTAAGTTCAAAGAAGGGAAAACAATGTTTATCATATCATGTGCTTATCATATAATAAACCCATGTATCCATTACTACCTAGACCATGTTTGAAACACAAACCTTTAAACCCTAATTAAACCTAAACCAAATTTTAAATTTAGATTTGCGAGAGACCGTACGGTCAGGTTTGGCCCTGTCCTGACCATTTAGAATCTGACAATCACATTGTCCATCTCTCCGTTTGCTATCCTTTGATCTTCCTCCCACTTTCTTCACAACAAAAACACTCCCACCTAACTTCATTGCTGTCAACACACCCATGGCAACCAGTAAAGGTCCCACAGCCCAGTGAAAGTCCTCTAGATGCTGAAATTTCTTTACAACACCTTCACAAGTACTAAAATCCACAGTCTCTACTTCAACTGGATCAGCAAGACAGCTTCCATGTTCCTGTCCAAAAGGAAACACTCCAGGGAACTCCACCTCTAGACAACCGTTTGGTAAAACATGAGAGATCCTACCAGTTGCCCAAACTCCTCTATCTTTACGTATCCATTTGAATCTTGGGATCACAACAGAGTCTTTGACCTTCACAAACTGACCAACACTGTATCGTTTAGCCATCTGAAGCTCTGATGAAGTCCCTCTCCATAGAGTTGGTAACCCAACAAACCCAACAGCTACATTACCCTCACGGTCTATTGAATGGACAATACCAACTGGAGAACACTTATTGACTCCTACATACTTCAGACGTACCCAATCTCCACAAGCTAAGTCGTTAGTTACCCTTTCAAGAACGGATACATGAACCCTTAACGGATCATGAACGCCATGGACTTTAACTAGAGCAAATCCATCTGACTGATCAGTGTCACGTTCTAAACCAACCACCTTTCCTTCTGGTACATCCATGTTCTCATGCTTACAAGAATTGGCAGGCTTTCTTGAACGCACCGTGTCGCCTACTTGTAGAGGATCCTTTGAAAGAAACCATTCTGTATAACCGAGAGTAGCTGAGCTCTTCCTGATCTCTCTAATATGAATGCCTCTCCAGAACTCTTCCTCCTCTAAGTTCAGCAAGCTGTATCAAAGGTGTAATAATATGTCAGAGAGGTGCTAAGACCAATGTTAAAAAAATTGATAGGAGGTAACTAAATGGTTTATAGTGTGAACTACAAAATACATAAATATAGGATGGTGACAAGGTTTGATTTACCTCTTCAAGACGTGTAAGATGTCTGTCATAGAAGGTCGGCTTCGAAGATCATACATAAAGCAACCCTGAAGTAGCTTCTCCAGAGGAGGCGGTATGTCACTAGGGATAGTAAGCTTTTCTCTCTTTCTGACCACTAAGTCGTGTATTTCATCAATGGATTTGCCACTCCAAGGTTGTACACCAGTGAGCATTTCAACAATGCTGCATCCAAACCCCCAAGAGTCAGTCTCAAAGGACATGGGACCTCTAACTTCAGGTTGCCACTGTTCTGGTGCCATATAGTTTGGAGTTCCAAGTCTCATTATCATCTCAGAACTCGTCAAAGGGATACTATGAAGTAGATAAGGGACTCCAACATCTCCGAGGATGGCCTTGTCGTTATCACTGAGAAGAAAGTTAGAGGGCTTGAGATTAATAATCAGAAACCCTTTTGCGTGCAACTCAAGGATCCCTTTAACTAGATCAACCCCATATCTGCAAAACAGAATAAATAAGAAATTAGTATTCTATATAAAGAGTGAAGAAAAGACACTACTACCATGAGTTCATTACCTCAATACATCAGACAATGAAAGCTTTCCTCCTCTAAGCCGAGCCATCTTGTCACCAACACAGCCCTCATAGAATTTCATGACCAGGCATATCTACACTAGTATACAAATCTGTAATCAAAAATGGGGAGACACTAGAGACACACACACAAGTTTGTTCTTACTTACCCTTCCATTAATGCTAGAGACTCCTCGGAGGAGACAAACATTCTCCATCCCTTGAGACTTGGAAACCAAATCCTGAAACTTATCGACCACAACTCTTCTCTGATCTTTAGTGATGGGATGAAACATTTTGATGGCCACTTCATAGTCCTTTGTTGACTGATGATGAGTAGCTAGCCAAACATCACCAAAGGGACCTCTTCCAATTCGATGCCTAAGCTTCAACGTTGCAGAATCAATCCAAGGACTGATCCTGGCTGCTGCTGCTGCTGCTGCCAAAGCGGCCTCAGACTCTCCTTTAACGATTTCGTACTCAGAATCATCGAGTTTTCCAGCAGTAATCTTCATAGACCTTAGTTTGCTAAAGAATAAGAACCTTTTCTATTACTTTTCCCTCGTCTTCGCCGTCATTATATGGTGTTAGGGTTTTAAAAGGCTTCTTAATCGCACACTTTCTAATAGCCTTGAGGGCCACGAAAGTTCTTTGTTGGGCCTAAGCCCATTTCGGAAGAAACTTTTCAAACTCGCGTTTTCTCAAACGACAGCAACAAAATTCTAGTTTCTCTCTCTAATATTTGTAATACGGTTGTATTGCATCTATCTTATTAAAACAAAAGTACCAATAAAATATGTCCCTTAGTTTTTCAAGTTATTTACACAACAATGCCATTGTATTTATTAATAATCTTAATTTTTAGTAATGTTGTCTTTTCAGTTAATTTAATGCATTTCTTATATTTTTCTGTTAATTTTAAAAACAAAATCATTTTTGGATATCCCCTAGATTTTCTCATATAACAGTTTATGCTACTGATTTGTTTTTCTAAAAATATAGAAGTTTAAATATGAAAATATTAGAAGTTCATAATAACTATAATTTACATATTCGATCACGTTGGACCATTTAATAGCATATAGTAAACCTTTTTAAATACTGATTTCAGTTATTATTAATGTTTAAAAATATCATATTAAACAATAATTTAATACATATATATTTTAAAATTATATATTATTATATATAAAATAAATATATATTTGCAAATATGTAAAAATAAACCCGCACAGGTGTGCGGGTCAAGCTCTAGTCTTATATATTAAAACAGAAGTCATAATTTGACTTTATGTGTGATTTTTTTTAAAAATGGATTATTACTAGAAAGTTATGTTATATTAACTCTCTAATAATCTTATCATTATTATATCTTATGCAAAATCATATTAATAATAACAAAGATATGCTTAACAAAATTTGTTTTTGATAAATTACCCCACACCGTTCAACTTAGTCACACAAAATATGTCAATAGATATAAATTTAGGAATCTTCTATTATTTATAAGAAAATATGTCAATAATAGTTAAATGCATCCACAATATATTAACAAAATCATAGATTAGTAATACGGAATATTTATATACCCTAACAAAATTTACACGATATATATATTAGATAAATTTATTTCAATGTAAATTTGTAAAATTATATTGTTTTAAAAAAGAAATTGTTTAAAAAATTATTTTTAATAAAATTCTTTATAATATTAATTTATGAATCTATAAGTTTAGTTTTTAGCAAAAATTTCTTCGAAGTTTATATTATCTTTGCAAATTAAAGTATACTAATATTTAATCAAGCTCTATTTATATTACTTTATCTAAAAATGAAATACTAATCTAACAAACAATAAAATATAGAAGAAAAAACAAACACATGTTTGAAAAACATGCATAATATAGAAAATTTGAAACAATCTATTTGATTAAAATTCGTATTATATAATATTATTATGTTTGAAAAACATTTACTATACATATCGTAAATATGTGATTACTATAATATATACCAATTTACAAATGAAAACAAAATGTTTATATAACTAACTATAAACGAAAGCAAATACCCGCGCGGTTGCGCGGATCAAAATCTAGTCTATTATATTAAAAGAGAACTCATAACTCACTTCATGTGTGATATTTTAGTTTGGACCATCTTTAGAGTTTTATAAAATTTTATATAACATTATAATATCTCTTCATATCTTTAATCTTTGTTTGAAATATAAATAAATAGTTTTAATAAAATTGTAACAAAATCTTTTAAAAATCTTTTAGAATATTTTTCAAGATATAGTTTCAAAAATTATTTGATTAAAATTTTAATTATCATAAAATATAATTAAAATTTTAATTCATTTTTAATTTATAAACTAAAAATTAAAATGATGTAAAATACTTTTAACAATATCCCAAAATTTTGTTTATGTATTATGTAAGTCCAACTTAATTAATTTTTACATAGATTTCAAATTTAGATGTAAAACAAAATATATAAATTTGTAATCTTACATAATAATGTTTTTAAAAATTGTTACAAAAATACAAATTTATAAAATTCATATTAATAATATTATAAGTCACATAAAAATTATTATAAAATTGGATAACATACATAATCATATTATATTTATTTATTGATAAATTTTATCATATAATTTCAAATATTTTCGTATTAAAATACACGCACGGTTGTGCGGGTCGAAATCTAGTTTAACGTTAATACAATACTAAAATTGAATAATCTTGTTGATCGTCGTTGCAAATATATTTATACAAATATAGATCTCTACGGTTCATGGAATAATCTTTAAAACGTTTAAGAGCTGCTTCGCCTGACCACGAGTTCTGACATTTTTGTTGCGAGTAAATGTTGGAACCATTCGAAAAGCAGCTTTTGGTACTCTGTTACATTAAGGTAACCACCCAACCTTAAAACCATCGTATCTACTGCCTCTGAGTTTTGCAGCACAAGTCTTATGAAGGAAACCACATCTTTTGACTTTGCTATCTTAGTAACAACACCATAGGGGGATGATGAATAGGTCTGCTAAGTCACCGTATTTCAATCTCCAGCATCGATCAGGATTCAAGCCTTGCGTACGTAAGTGTCTCCTCATCCTGAAGATAGTAATTAAAAGAATTAATTCTACAATATAACTCTGTCACAACACACAAGCACATAATTGTCCCTACTCGTAAATAGGTTATTACTAAAGATAAAAAGAGGTTCATGGAAAGAGATACACGTATGCCATTGTAAAATGTTGTGGTAGCTGTTATCTTCTGTAATCTAGGTGAGTTTTGTAGCAGCCTTGCTAAGCCAGGAATAACAGAAATAAACCAATGTCTGCAACCAGATTATCTATCGCATACAAAGCTTGTAAAGGCTTAAGAGAAAATATACCTGAAGGACGATTGGTCCAATAGTAAGTTTGCCTTGTTGGATATTTAAGTGACTATATGCAATGTATCATTATATATTTGTGTGACTAGATACAATGTATCTATATATATTGACTAGTCACATAAATATATAATGATAAATTGCATGTAGTCACTTAAATATCCAACATGCAGGCCCGGCCGTTACGGAAGCAAAGGAAGCGGGAGTTTAGGGCCCAAAATTTTATGGGCTGGGTTAAAGTTACTTTTAACTTGAATGGTTCGCGTCGTCTCCTTCTTACGGTTCGTGTCATTTCCTGCATCAAAACGTAAGGGTTTTGACTTTTACAAATAAATCGATGCTTTCATTAATCGATTATTTTCCGTAAGACTTTTTGTTCTCTTTCTCTTTCTTTTAGTTTTAATGACTATGAGATTTTCTTAGAAAGAATCTAACAAGGCAAAGGATTTTCCTTTTCCAAACCTTGAGCTTGATGATGACCTTTTCATCGGATCTTTTGTCCGTAGGATTGTTATTAGATGCTAGTCCATTAAAATTTTATTATTAGTTTAATCTATGTTACCATGTGAGCTTTATAAACTATTTTATTGCAACTTTGATATTATTATGTGTGTCCAATGTGAATATGTGATGTTAGAATAGAAAATACAATCTAAATCAAACTTCTTGTTCTTTGTTAATAGAAGAATGGCACCAAGGACTAAATCGCAACTCAGTGGAGCTGAGAAAAGAAAAAGAAAAAAAATGCAAGAAGAATCAATGACACAACAAACCAATGCTATCTTCAAGTATATAAAGAGAAAACCTGCAAACTCTGGAACTGATAACATCAGAGGTACAAAAGGAGAAAATAATGAAGAAACACATGTAGATTCAGAAAATGATGTGGCTGATTTAGATGTTGATCATGAGGATGTGGTCCATGATGATGAGTTTGACAACAAAGAGCAGTATGAAGTTGTTGGTGAGAAGAACAAAACTGTGCAAGATGAAGAACTCCCCACAGATGCTTTTGATCCAGGTAATTGGGGAAACATTGATATGACATTAAGAGATTTGTTGGTTGAGAATGGTCCAACAATAAGGCTACTAACTAATTATCAGTTTCCTAAGGACAGCATTGGTAGACATTTTTCTCAAGCATTCTATACGAGGGAGTTAATAAATGGAGAGAATCAAGATAGAAGGTGGTTAATTTACTCAAAATCTGTAGACAAAGTCTTTTGCTGTAAATTGTTCAGGCATGATAAAAAAGAAGGTTACTTGACAACTGATGGGTATAATGATTGGAGAAACCTTTCCAAGCGACTCAATGAACATGAAGGCAGTCACGATCACATTGTTTGTCTGACTAGTTGGACAGAGTTAGAGTTAAGGCTTCACAACAATCAAACAATTGATAAACATGCCCAAGAAAAAATAAACAAAGAGAAGAATCATTGGAGAGAAGTACTTACGAGGATATTTGCATTGGTGAAGACTCTAGCTAAAAACAATTTAGCGTTTCGAGGAGATAATGAGAAGATCGGCCAAGACAACAATGGAATTTTTTTGAGTTTTATCGAGATGATTGCAGAGTTTGATCCAGTGATGAGAGAGCATATAAGACGAATCGGTGCATGTGAGATATACTCTCATTATCTAAGTCACAATATTCAAAATGAGGTGATATCTATGTTGGCTAGTGAGATTAGGCTTATGATCGTAAAGACGATCAATGCTTCCAAGTACTTCTCTATACTTCTTGATTGTACTCCTGATATTAGTCATAAGGAACAAATGACTTTAATCATCCGATGTGTGGATATTTCTTCAGTGTCAACCAGTATTGAAGAATTCTTTTTGACATTTCTGAAAGTGGACGATTAATCAGGAGAAGGGCTGTTCACTACGAGTCAAGATGCGTTGGTTAGCTTTGGGTTAGAGATTGATGATGTTAGAGGACAAGGTTATGACAATGGATCTAACATGAAAGGAAAACATAAAGGAGTACAAAGAAGGTTGTTAGAACTTAATCCAAGAGCATTTTACACACCATGTGGGTGCCACAGCCTTAATCTCGTGCTTTGCGATATAGCATCTTTTCCACAAACGCAGTGTCTTT